TTAAACAATCCAAACATTAAATTGAACCGGTCAAAAATGGTCCAAAATATTTATCGGATTGAATTGAACCTGATCCATCTATAATGGAATCATTGGACCAAATCCAATCCAATTAACACCCCTATCTCCATCACCACTGGGTTTCCATCTGTGGAGGTTTTTAAAGAGTGATCGGTATATTTTCCACTCAGTTAATTGAATATCTGTGTAGTTTCTCTATGTAAAGCCCTGCGGTTAGAGAAAGCCGAACCAATTATAATGATCGTATCCTAGCTTACAATATGTACCAGTTGCTGCCTATTGTTGGTTTATCAAGGTTGGTTGCTGGTGTTCATTAATTGCATTGCTTTCATTGATGGTGCCATTGTTACTTGCAACGCTAAGACCTACGCCAATGTTAAAATATCAATAAGATACTCTCAATATGGGCATATTGTATCTGTATTTATAATCACATATGTGGGATGTGGGATGCCAGATATGATATGATTGGGTTTGTATTTCATGAGTCATTGTATCAGCATCATACACATACACCTCCGTATCAGGCCTAGATTTTTTGAACTTTAATAAAAATTGAAAAATATAAAAATAAGTCATATGTTTTATTTTACAATTATAAATTAAACATGAAAACATGTTTATTATCTAAAAAATAGTTATTATTGATATAAAAATACTAAATAAATATTTTTCTACAAAAAAATAATACAAATTAAAAGTTATAATTATAAAAGCTGAAAGAGTGATAATTATTGTATGTTGTGTACAAGTTCTACAACCCCAATATTGTTGATTGTAATATTTCTCTTCATATAACCTATTAAATGTGTATTTCCCAAGTGTTTATACCTTGTTCATAAATAATTCAATTATATACTTAATATTATTAGTGTATTTATGTGATTTATATACATTTCCTTAGCATATTCAAACATTTTCATATCTTTTATTTATATCCATACATTTCCAAAATGTATTCATATCCAAGCTATTCGATACATCTATAGTTGATACCGATACTTCAATCCTTTACCTACAAAAATTCCGATTCTTTTGCATATGCTACAGCAGTAATCGGTGCTTTAGCTAAAAATAGGTAAGGCAAAAGAGGGAAATGATTGCATAGAATAGAACAGATGGTGAGGACAAGAAATCTTTGGTTGTCCACGTTCTACTGTCCATAGGCTCTCTTCATGTGACATGTTAGCCCATACACTTCAGCACTGTTTACTGTCACATGGAGTTTATGTGGACTGATGTTTTATGCAGGAAGAGCCCCGTGAATAGCTCATAGCCTCATACTGTCAAACATAGAAAGCCATTTTTTTTCGTTGAAAACATGGAATTAAATTTGGGTTTAGTTCTCTACATTCCACAAGAACTTGATTCACAAGCACTGGGGAAGTGTTTGGTCTTTAGGCTCAGTTTGAAAGGAGTATGAATACAAATATGTACAGTACAAATACATACCAAATAATATAAAATATGAGATTTTGCACTCTACACATTTGTATTTGTATTCTTTCCAAACTGAGCCTTAGAACCATGTATCAGCTGCTTAGAAGTCAGCACATTACTTATTATACGATGGCCTACAATCTTCGGGTCAAATTCAACAGTTGTTTCAGAGTAAAAGGCTGTTGGCCTCGTGTCCTGGGGACACTACTTTCGGACAGAACTTGAAAGTAGAAAGTTTACATGGCAGACTATTGAAGCAGTTATCCCTTGGAATATATGGAAAGAGACGAATGCCCATGTTTTCGAAAATGAACACAGCTATGAGGTCATAGAAAAGAGAGCAATAGGTACCCTGTTCTCTTGGCTATCTGTCCATAAAGATTTTCATGGAAAACCCATAAATCAGTTCTTAAAGTGAAGAGTCTTCATAAACCATCAAGATCAATGTGAAGGAAACAAAACATTGATACCGCTGTGCTGCATCTTATGATTTAAGTTATGATCTCAACCCTTGAGGTAGCCAATCTAACTAGTTGATTGCATCACGTTTTATTGCAAGTTATAAGGTAAATTGTCATTAATACATTCCACACAAGTTACCACGACTTAGCTGCGTTTGAATTAATTTTAGAATAGAATCAAATCTAGTTAATTTGGCATTGCTTCAGGTTACCTTGAGGTTAAAACCAGTGCCAGGCCAAAGTCGGAATAGCATTCCTCTTTCTAAGACTATCTCAAGTTGCATTTAGAGATATTAACATTGGTCATGACTAGACGTTCTTGCTCTGTGGAAAATTTCCAAGTAACCACAATCAAATATTAGCAATAATACCAATCCAAAGTCTACATAGATTAAACCATTGGCTGATGTGAATTCAAGCTGTTACAACTTGATTTCCCCAAATAAAGCTAAAGCAGATTTGGAATGCCATCTACTGAAGTAACAGTTGCAGATTTAAAATCTTCAACAAATGAATTGGGACTTTTTCTGTCTCCCCTACTCTTTTCAAACTACATCTTTGGCACCTCCAAACTAAACTGCCTTTTCTTCATTCATGTTTTGTCATTTTCTATTTCCCCTTCAACTGGTAGTTTAGTAGGGCATTACCTTGGGTTTAAGGGGTCAAGGAACAGATGTTAAGGGAACCCCATTTAAGCTGTCCAAATAAGCAGTGTTTGGTCCAATGGACATATCCAAAGAAAAACGTTTCCAAGCTTCAGTTTCAGAGAAACAGAAAGGTGACTATTTTATACCTCCCTGGAGACAGAAAACCAGCGGTAAACAATGCCTTGGTTTCTTTATTCCTGGAACAACAGAAATTCTGTTGTTTGCCACCAAACACCTGCTTAATTTCCAGAGAAGCACTTGAAATCCATGTAAAATAGTTCCTGTTTTTCAACATCATGGCATTTGAATGCATCTACATGGTATGGTATTCCAAGTGGTTATACAAAAGGACCAAACTCTGTAGTAGATAAGTCTAATTTAAAACACAGCCATGCTCAATCAATGAACTCATTGATGCTCTATATTACCATTTCTTGGGATTAGAATTGGCTTCACCCAGTGTCCAAACAATCAAGATGAAATTAATCAATTCCCATATGGTTCACAAAAACACCCTATCACATTCACCGAGTATTACAGAGCCAGACATTCCCTGGTGAATTAGTGATGAAATAAGATTCTGCAATTTATGAAGCAAAAGAACAACCAAAAGATGATGGCTTTTCTAAATCCACTGGAAGTTTCAAATAGTATCTTGAATTCAAATGTACAGAAGAAAGAACTCCACAAAACAATCAGGGATAAAAATAGTTCCAAGAATTATGCAGTCTAACCCATTTCTATCCAATTTTTATGATATACATATGTCTGCAAACACCCAAGCAAAATCTAAAAATATGATCCCTTGTACTCATTGCAGCCAAGCAATAATTGTCTGCACAACCTCATATTTAATGATACCATCTGTTCTCTGGATGGTAATAGTTTATGAAATCCAAATCTTAAGTTCTTAGAGGCTGGAATCAGGACCCACCACATCTCTTGAAATGCTGGAACTATAACAGAAGACTACCACCATAGACCATGAAATGCAATTATATGCACACATTCAGCTATAGAGATGATGCATGGCTAGAACCCAAGTGTCTTGTTCACAGGCCCCAGTATCAGAACATATTTACACGGAAAAACCACGGGAGTATAAATGCTATTACCAGGCAAGCCATAAGGAAGTTACAAAACGGCTGTCCCCGCCAGCATCCCCTCCCCCTGCTTGAGGAGTTTGTACTGCTAGACCTGAATCTCCTCTCATTCCATTCATCCATGAATCTGTTGTCCCCCACACCTGTAACATTTTTTGCAGTCTCCCCACAAATTTCACAGCACCTGCATCAATAAAAACAAGACGACATTCATATAGCATTTAATACTAGCCTCTTGTCATTACTTGAAAGTAACAAACTACTTATCAAGAGTCAAGACTGAAGCCTGAGGTTTTGGGTTTCTGTAATATCACTAGTCATTAAGAAACAATAAGTCAGATTATTACTATTGTTTCTGTTCTCTTTTTTGACATATTTCTACACAATACTATGGAGGGATTATAATGCATTTATGGGAAATTTAAGGAAAAGAAATTCTAATGCATGTCATGAAACTGAAGAACTTAAATATATTAATCTATGGTCAGTTAACTGATGTTCTGGGTTGTACCAGCATTACTTAGCACTTACACTCAGGTCAGTTCAAATTCAAATTTCAACCTAACCACTTTCACATTTCTTTTTTGCATAAATATTACCTTTGTCCCACTTCATAAACATCATTATCATCACTGCCTATTCCCAACAACTTACAATGTGAACAAAAACTGTCCTGTCACTCTGGTCCATCCAGAGTTTCCAGAACAAATAATACGATTCATAAAAAGGCATGATGGTCAACTCAAATAAAATCTATAAAGAATTCTGATCTAGAGATAAGTAATACCATTTTAATGAAACTGCCTTGTGTAAGAAATCTTATTTGAATTGGCAAAGTATCAAAATGTCGTAACTGCAATTTAAAAAGTATACACAGTGTCCAATTTCATTATTGAACTCCATAAACACTATAAACAGCATTTCTGTTTAAACTGAAGAAACAGGTGTACTTTCTTGACAAAGTGGAACTTTCTGTAGAGGCATGAGCAGCATTACCTCCTAAGGTTTATCACTGTGCCTAGTAGGATGTCCTAATTAAGTATTTATATGGGAGGACTGAAGGACTCAATGACAAGTAAAAGGAATCTATCAATACTTAAAGAAAAACAAAAGTGGATAAGGAGAAGAAACAAAAGTTCAACAGCTGACAAGTGAAAAGTTTAACAAGTCCTTAAATTGTTTATGGTAAATGCATGCTTAACTAGTCATATTATTTTCTTTTCGTAAGACAAGTTTCCCACACTTTATTACATTTACCCATCTTGTTGAAAAAACCAATGAAATAGTTATTGTTCTGGTCCTTTTCTAGGTATTGTACAAGCATTTACTTGGAAGCCTTCAATCAATAGCACTCATGGTGTAATGACATAGAATATCATAGAAATATTGCCAAGAGTAACCTATTTGAAACTACATTTTCATATTCAAATAATTTTAGACATATAGGAGATGTTGACTGAAATTGTAGAGTCATATCAGTAACCAGAGCATAATAGATTTCTTGTAAGTTCAGTAGTGACTGAAATTTAATGTAATAAAGGAAATATATTGTTTCAATTAATTAAAATATCATATAGGTCATGTTACACTTGGTGGTTATAACTGAAATACTTCTAGTAATGGACTAACAATGATGCATGGACTCTGCAAACAGATGAAGTGTCTCTGACAGGGACACATCAGATTTGACACTATAAGAATTCTTGACGGATACTTCTACATAACATTTTCCTTTATCTCCTTGCTTATTTGATATAAATGACTAGCTAATATATGCAATAAATGCCATCTTTCCCAATAGAATGTTGTTAACAAACATAAACTTCTAAACCTTTTCCCATAGATATGAAATGCCATAGTTCAAAAAAAAATCTTGGTTTATACTTTCTATAGACGTGTTCACAAAGTCCTTGTTTTACCTTGCCAAGTCAGACTCCCAGACACATGTTAGGTTCTGATTCCAGTGTCCATGCCCGTGCAACATTGTGGTCAATGGCTAGTTTGAATTATATTCAATTACCAAAATACCATACTTGTCTAATTATCAAATACTAACAACTTGTGTTACAAGACAGAGTAATTGGCTGCAACTTCAGCTTTCTGTTTTGACCATCAGTTCCTTTAAGAAATATAAATAATATGCTCTTTCAGTTGCTTCACAGAATTTCTTTTTGATAAGTAATTGCTTCACAGAATTTTAGGATCAATATAAAAAAAATATATACATATATGTTACAACACAAGAGCTAGCTCATCAATCAAATCATAAAGTACCATTGAACCAAAATGATGTGGAGGTGCACGAAGACAGTTACACTTTGGAGTGTGTGGAATGAAAGAAATATCAACAATAAGAGCCAGAGGTAAACATCACTTAGATTTAATGACAGTAAGGGTTACTAATTGAACCTCTACTATAGCTAAGTTTGAAGTAGGAGTGATTAGTTCTAACCTGGACTGGTCTGGCCTAGCCTGCAAATTCCCGGGCTTGGGACTAGGCTTGGTGTCTAGATATGTGTATTCAGTGTCTTGCCAGAATGACATTATTCTTTGCCTCAAACCTTTTTTCTAGTGCTTGGCAAGAGAGGAGCAATCTTTCCATTCTGCCAATAAGAGCCAGAGGTAAACATCACTATAGACTTAATGACAGTAAGGTTTACTAATTGAACCTCTACTATAGATAAGTTTGAAGTAGGGGTGATTAGTTCTAACCTTGCCTGGTCTGGCCTGGTCTGCAAATTTCTGGGCTTGGGACTAGGTTTTGTGTCTAGATATGCGTATTCAGTGTCTTGCTAGAATGACATTATTATTTGCCTCGAACCTTTTTTCTAGTGGTTGACAAAAGAGGAGAAATCTTTCTATTCTGCCAAGAAAGGATCCAAAACCTCCTCCATCTCCAAAAAGGTTTACGTCAAACAGATACAGAAACCGAAAAGAAGAGACAGAAAAAAGTGGGAAACAGGATTAAACATGCTCTCCCACAAAAGGTAGTTGTAGTTGAGCAGAATTTCATGCAGAGTATTTCACTATGGTGATCTTAACGGAATAAAATATTTAAATCCCTAACCCATGATCTACTTTGTCAAAAGTTTACCAGTTTTATAAACCCAAAACAAACATGCTTATTGAGAAACTAGTTATATTTATTTTGCCTATTCAGGCAAGTAAAAGATTGCATCACTGATGTTCATGTTCAATCAGAATATCCACTCTGGTCTACATTTCATCTAACCCAACATAAATGTGCTAAAACAATCTCCACTATCCAGATTTCAACATTGTCAAAGGTATACCAGTACCCAAAAAATAACCATGCTCATCAAGAAACTTACGTTTGTATTGCATATTCAGGAAAACATAAGATTGCATCACAGATCTTCATATTCAATCAGAAAATTTTCCAACCTACAATTTTCTACCTATCATGGATGTGCTAAAACATCCTCCAGGATCCAGATTTCAACATTGAAAATGTTCTTTCCTTGCTTCAAACCTATGATTCTGTATGCTGACCGCAACAGATCAACACCATCAGAATGGAAATCCTTCATACTAGAGGAGTGAAATACATTTCATTGCCAGTTGCCCCTTCTACATTTAACTCTCATGCCAAGAAGTGAGGCATCCATAATACATCCATCAATCATACTGGCTGGTATAGCACATCTATTTCTTTGATCATTGGCATGATCAGGTACCTGTCTTCATCTGTTCTATTAGATTGTTCCAAATGTTTGTGCACCAATTCATCTTAATAAACAAGTTTCTCATAGTGTGCAAAAAGGTAATTTCCATAAGTAATGACCCCATAGAAACCCAAGTAGCTGGCCTTTACTGAATAAGCTGGATCACCAGTAATTGATACTCTTGTTGAGGTATCCAGTGTTAGTAACATGATAACCACAAATGAAGTATAGAAACGAAACTACAAAATTACAACAAAAAAATATAATTATTTCTTCAACCAAATAATCCAATATATGTAGACATGATCTACATGTTAAATAATAAAGAAAAACAGAGATACCTCTCTAATTTTTCACTATGGTGGTCCTCAGGTCAAAAAATAATGAGATACCAGAGTGCTCCATTTTCACTAAGATTAAAGCCTTCATATATAACCAGAAGATTTGTTTCTGATCTTCTGGTAAACTAAGAAGAGTGCCCAGGAAAAATTGATGTGAGTTCAAACCTAAATCAATATTATGGGGAATTTTTGGTTGTTAAACAACCCAGGCTATTTGGGAGCTTCCCCTACATGATATGTTATCCCACTAAGTCCCTTGCTTATCTTTTTGGCCAAAAGAATTTTGGTTGCAACTCTTTTACCCCATTTCCATGGTAATTGTCATGCACAAGAAACTCAAAAACAGCCCAAACTCTTTTTTGTTTTTTTTTTTTCAAACAGCCAAAATCTTTCCCAACATTACAGACCCACAAGGTTTCCACATCCTGTTTTCCCCATTCATAGGGCTTAGTTTACAAGATGATGATAGTAAGGGAAATCTCTGGGAGTCAGGAAAAGAGTGGCTAACCTGTAAAGAAGAAACCTCAATAACATTTAAAAAAGGTCCAAAATCAATAAATAATTAAATAAAAAAATTCTTTAAGATTACTATAGAACCTGAAACCCTTTTTTTCATTTCCTTTTTGTATAGCTAGCCTTTTCAAAATTGCTATACATACAAATAACAATGTCAAATCAATTCCCCAAATATTTAGGCAGATATGCTTTATTTCACAAATGACTTCTTCGTGCCTTGAAACTGTTAGTGTAGGGCTAAAATATGCTTAACTGTTCTCAAGTGTGCTCAACTGACATCTCCATTTCCCTTTCTCATCCCACCTTCCCACGAAATGTTCCACACTAGAGTTTTACTTGATATCTTTTGGTAATGCATTCCTTAAAAGCAGCCCCACAGACATATGGGAATCGCAGCATATCCTGGACTTGCAGCACATCCAGAATTGCAGGTTATCCTAGAATCGCAGTTAGGTGGGACGCAAGCGTCATCTGGGTACACTGGTTATCCAGACTCGCAGTTAGCCTGGAACTGTAGCACACTGGATTTACACCAGGGATTTTGGAGTACTCACAATACCTGTCACATACATTCTCCGCTTTATGGGGCCGACCTGTTTCTGGGTTTCTCATATAAATACTATTTTGTATCTTGCATGGTAACGTTGTATCTTGAGTGCCAAAAAAAGAGTAAGTGCAGGAGTGCGTGAGACACTGAGAGAAAGGGAGCTTCAGGTGCATTGGGAGCAAGGGTTTGAGAAAGGCTGTGAATGCTGTGACTGAAATCTCTACCATTCTTTGGTTGATTTGTTCTCCTCTGACGCCCATGGACATAGGATTTAAGCCAAACCACGTAAACCTCTGTATGTACTTTGAGTTGCTCTGTTTTACACTTCCTTTCTGTTTTTTCTCTACTTGTAATTTGACAAATGGTTTCTAGTTCCTGTGTTTGTTAATTCCACATTTCCTATATAAACCAACATACCCAAATAAATGGGAAAAATACACATAAATTGGGATTAACAAAACAGTGCAATTCAACAACTCAACTGATGCTGCTCTGCTTGCACAATACAAGAAAGAACAGCACAACAATGTACAGAATGGAACCTTGTCCCCCTGTCAATGAAATAAGGATAAGGTATCAACATCTACACAACTACAACTAACCCCACCCACTATTTTCCATATTGGTAGTTATAAATTAACACGTAATAAAGCTAACACTCCAATGGAATAAAATCTAGCACTAAATGACAACAAACTAGAATAGTTTTTACAATCAAGCATCAACTACAAAATTTGTGCACATGAAAACCMCCAGCCACAATCAATTTAGGCTACATTATACCTTGAAACTTGAACTTTCAAATATTAAGCTCTTCATTAAATCTTTAAGTATACAATTACATGTTGAATATAAGTGAAGATAAATGGCCCTTATATATGGTAATTGAGTGAATGCAGTTAATGCAGCACTATGTTATGGGAAACTGGTCTAATTTGCCTTTAACACAGAGAAATAGTGGAGAAACAAGGGCTGAGGACTGTAATTCTGCAAAATAAGTGGATATTGGCTGTAAAAGAAGTAATTATCTGCTTACTTTCAAGAATCTGGCATTTTACATTTTACCTGCATGACTAAGAACCTTTTCAAAATTTGTACAGACGGTGATAGCAGTTCTAAAATTTGCAAAATTGTTTTTAAGGAAAAAGGGCACCGGGTTTTGTGTACAGAATAAGATGATAAATGTTGACAAGCTCACAATAAAATGAGAAATTTTATGATCTCCTAATCAAGATGTTTGCCAGAGATCAAGGGACTTCCTCCCATTCAAGATACTGGTTTTCATCCTTGATGATTGCCCTGGAACAACATGACATGGACAGTCAAGGATTGAAAATTCAAAACTTATTATCCTAATCAAGAACATGTCAAAAAAGTTCAGGTCATTATGAGTTTTTGACTGAAATAAGATGGGATTCACTTTATCCAATAAAATCCAAGGTTCTTTAGAGCAAAAGAAAAGAAACAATTACCTGTTGCCTCTTAACTTAAACCAGGCCTCCGCACAGTGACGATGTGCAATGCCAAGTTCGCTTTTGCAACCGCAACCAAGCGTGATAAGATCCGAAACCTCGGCCGGGTGATCAAAGCCTGAACTTAAGTGACAGATCCTGCAAACTTTCTCTCCCTCCCAATTTTCGCTACTCAGCTCTCCATCCCCGCATTTAATATCGACAACACACGCATGCTTCTCCGCCTCAGGAGCTTTTGTTCTCCGTTCTTCTGTAGACACCTTACTTGTCTCTAGCACATTGGCCTTAGTTTTCGAATATCCGCTTTCTCCTCTAACACTTTCACCCTCTGCAGGTGCTATCACAATTACCGTCTGGGAAGGAGCCGGATCAGTTTGCCCCAACGAAGTTTTCGAATACTCACCTTCACCACTAACACTTTCACCCTCTGCAGCTGCTATCACAATTGCAGTCTGAGAAGAAGCCGGATCAGTTGGCTTCGACGAAGAATTCTCAACGGCCCCTTGCCGATCGCGTATTGCATCACCCATTACTCTGTCACTCACATGCTCACCTTCTAACCACCTCTCTATTTCGGAACCTATCCAACTTTAACTTCCTTGTTCTTTCACAGGTCTCAATTGATTTCACCTCATTCATGCACAGAAATGCAAAACCTTCCAAATCTCTCAATCGACAAAAGCTCCAGCGAACCCCAATCTCCAACTGTCAATTCCCTTAATAAATCCTAACGGATCAAGAAGAAAACAACCAAAACACCCTCGAAATAAATTATTCCAGTTCTCTGAATCAATCAAATCTCCAAAGTCCAACCTCTATCTGTCTCAGAAAAAAAAATCACAAAAAAAAAACGATTAAATTAACAGTTCAGATCTTCAAATAAATACCAATTTTTCACTTTCGATTTATCCGAAACACCTTCTTTCTCTTCCACGAATGAAAGCTCGAATCATTGGCTGACACTTCAATTTCTTACACCGCGTTCAGACTTAAAACGCGCTTTCTGACTATCTAATCTCCGCCGTGATAGATTGATCAGGATTCCAGTCATTCCACACTCAATCGTATAAAGATATTTTGACATCTTAGCTTCTTCTTAGCCCTTCTCTCTTTCTTTCTCTCTGACTAATCTCCGCCATTATTTTTCAGATTAGATGAAGATCAAAAACTGGACAAATTATAAATAATTTCAAAGAAATTATAAATAATTACAGAAGAAGATGGAATTGCTTTCGTAGGAAGACTTCGAAGAAAAACAACTTCGCGAGAATGATTTTCCTGTTTTCAATAAAAAAAAAAGAACAACGTTTGCTTCCGTCTGGCGTTCAGATTCTCACTGCCGTGCCGAAGTCAAGCTTCTATCCGGCGTTATCCTTTATAAAGAACCCCCTGTGTTTTGTCTTATTTACAAATTACAAGAATCAAAAGTCCAGTGAAGTTTGTAGAAGAAGAGGGTACAACGGTCATTCTGATAATCTTCCTCTTATACGGTAACACCTACTACAGTATTACATTACCTTGCTTGAGTGGTGGCGGGGAAAGCACAGGGTTCTGCTATTATGCTCAATTGTCTTATTTATATATTTTTCTTGATGTCCTATTTGACGGTCAATAATTGATGTAGTCAATCGACTTACCTTAGATTTGGATGGAGATTGATCGGTCAACATGATCATCAATCACAGCTTTAGATCCTCTTCATAATAGTAATTTGTTGACTCAGATGATATTATTTAGTGCAATATTGGAGTCAAAGTTTGACCCGATCAATGATGACTTGATGAGTGATCTCATCTCCACTCATTATTGTTAGTTTGTCACTCTCTCTGGTCCCTTACTACCGCAATGGGTAGTTGAGGTCCTAGTCCAATAGACTCTTTTAACAGTAAGTTATTTTTCGTGGGACCCACCTGATACTGTCGGCAACGGCAGCAACTCGGAACTCGGTGGGCTAGCGTGGCAGCGTGAATCTTGTGAGTTGCGAGTTGCGACAGGCTTCCGTCCGTCGTTCCACTGGTCCCACTAGGACCTTGTTTTTCATTTGACGGCCTGAAACCACTCAAAACTTTTAACTAAAACAATACAAGGCCCCGACGCCTGCAGGCCCGGCCCATATACGCAGTGGGCCAGTGATTGGAACCTGAAGCAACTTAATAGAGCTCAGAAGTCAGATCTCCTACTCACATTTTCACCAAAAAAAAAGATCTCCTACTCACACCTACCCGCTGGACATTACAACTATATATATTGGGAACATTTAGGGGTCCGATTCAAGATCTGATCTTATTTGGTTGAATTTGGATCGGTCCGTTTAGATCAGATCGGATTCGAATCATCCCTTATCCGATTCAAGAAGATTCGATCCAATATATTATATATTAATAATTATAAATATAATATATACATGTTATTTATTTTTTTATAATTATATTTTTATAAATTTGTTATATTATTTATTTTTTATAAAAAACATATATATATGATAAAAATAATTAAAAAATACTTGTATTTTTTGTTTGTACTTTATTTAAATTAGTATATTTTATTTTTCTTTTAATAATTTATTATTTTTTAAGAAAACAAGTTGGATCGGATCAGATCCGAAAATCCAACTTACCAATAGTCAGATATGATCCAACATGAACTGTGTTGGATCGGATTCGAACACACCCCTTGATTTGAATCTGGTCCAATCCGTTTGCATCCTTAGGAACATTTTTCATATTTACATGTTATTATTTTATGGGGAGATGTTCCTGATGCACAACTGTAGTGTCTTGTAGGTATGTATGGGTAAGATTCTTGTGGGTAGGGGTATCAATTGGACTGGATTTGGTGCAATCTAATCCAGCCCCAATGTGAGTCCATTACAAATGGATATGGTCCAATCTAGTTCATTGAATATTTTGGACCAGTCCAATCTATTCAAATTCGTTTTAATTTAGATTGGTTCCAACTCAAACCTGGTCCATTGATACATGTATTTTTATCTTCTATCAATGGATCAGATATCGGCTCACTCCAACCCAATCCAATATAAATTCATTACGAATGGACCAGGTCCAATCCAATCCAATGAATACTTTTGGACCATTAAGTCTGGACTGGTCCAATTCAATATGTCTTATTGGTTCATCCAAGCAGTCCAAATTGGTTTTGATTTAAACAGAGTCCAACTCAAAACCAGTCCATTGGCACCCCCTATTTGTGTGTAGGAGATCAGGATTGAACTTAATAATCCCTTATACTCAAAGCTTGAGCAACCTCAAGCCTAATCCAGTGGAAGACCTTTTTGTAATGGTATTGAAAAGAAGAAACAACTAGCAAATATCTATACTATATATAAAAGTGTGAATGCAATATGAAACTTTTTTTGGACTAATATTACCCTCTACTTATTTGTTTGGGAAGGGTATAAAAGTCATTTTATTACAACTTTAGTGCTAGATTTAATGGATACTAAAATTCCCATAATTATGTATTTAGTCCATCTGTAATGGTAAGGTTGAAAATGTAACTTCATTTATTACTTCCCACCTCATTTAATCCCCTCTCATTAAGTCTTATACTTGAATTATTAATTCTCATCTTTCTCATTAAATTATGTGTCAATATTTACACTATTATTAAAAATATGAATAAGATTGTGGAACTTTCTTTTGACTAAAATACTTATTCTTTAATTTAGTCTCTAATTAATCATGAGGTTTAAATTGCAAATTGAACTACTACTTTTCATCACATTAAATTCCCTCTATTTAAATTTTACATTTTTTGGATAAATAAATAAAAAAAATACACCAAAAATATTAAATATTACAAAAAGAATAATCTAGCCAAGTAATTAGGCCTATCAATGATACTTGAAACTTCACAACTTGATTCAGTTATCACATATTTGGATGAAGTGTTTATGTAATTAGATTTGGATTTTCAATTCGTATCCAATTAATAATAAAAAACAATATATATATATATATATATATATATATATATATAAACAGAAAATAAAAAAATTTATAAAATTTATAAAAAAAAAATGGATAAATTATTACTATAATTATCATCATCTAGAATTACTACGTGCAAAGCAAATATCTTGATAAAGAAAGAGGATCTCAAGTTGCATTAAAGGGGGTGATGCCACAACATGGTTGGTTTTGTTTTTGAAAACAAAAACAACTCCCATACACCATAGTCTCATGTCAGCACAAACAATATAATTTTGCTGATGTGGTAGTTGTTTTTTGTTTTTGAAAATAAAAAACCAACCATATTGTCGAATACTCCTAAATGAAAACCTCCACTTAGTTAAATGATTATCATGGAAACATGTGCCCATGATCCCATGTCAGCACAAACAATATAATTTTGTTGATGTGACAATTGTTTTTTATTTTTGAAAAAAAGAAAAAAAAAAAAAAACCATACTGTGGAACACCCCTAAATGACAACCTCCACTGAATCTAATGATTATCATGGAAACATGTGAAAAAACCACAGCATAGGAAACCTAGATTTAAGGCTATAGTCGAATTGGATGCCAATTATATCCAACTTCATTATTGAATCCTTGGATCTGAAATTTGGTATATCAGACTCGAATTGGATTCAGATTTACTTTACATCCATTTTATTGTCCTCGAAATGACAACAATTGATAAAAGTCTTAAACAAACTACTTAACTTTAACTTGTCTATAATAAATTATGTAAATGTAAAATATTAAATTTATTAGTCATATATATCTATATAACATAATAGCAATTTTAATCATAGAGTTAAATCTAGGTTTAGTCTTATTATTAATTTGATGAACATCTAAACTCAGGTGTCAAATGACTTTTAGAATCCATTGGCAGCTCTACTTAGATTCACATGTAACTAGATGCAAATTGTCTTAGAATCAATAAAAGAAATGTGAGGGGGAGTGGAATATTAAAAAGCCTTTTTATTTTTTCTTAAATTAATATATGACAATTATTTCTAATTTCGATAATACATATATAGAGAGAGGATATCCACGTCTACTCATGAATCTTAAATAATCGTTGAATTGTTATATCTTGGTGTGGGTTGGGAAATGTATGAGCTTATCATACCACCAAAAATAACAACTTGAATCCAGGTCAGGCTTCACCGGCAATACAACAATCAACCAATATAATAATGACCTTTTCTTTTTGTTTTTCTTTATTTCAAAAGTTCTTTAATTGTTGCCCGTTTGGTGGTTGCTTGAGTTTCGTTTTGTAAGACTAGTAAATTATTTATTTTTATCAACTTGACGACGAATAATAATAATATAAAATCTCAAATTTTGGTTCAGCATTTCAATGAACCAACGGAATCTTAGATTTGATTTTTTTTTTGGTGTTTTCATTGAATTTGTAACAAACGCCCCATGTATGATTTCCGTGCATTGAATATTCTTCATACACGCTACGACGCCTGTCTGAATAGAAGTACAGCCAATATACACATGACGCCAGTTTGCCTGAATGATAAAACAAAGGGTAAAACAAAAGGGACATGTTGTGAGTCATATGACTCTGTTATAAACCCAAACTCTTCTTTGTCGAGTTCAGATCTTGGCCAAGACAGGGTCCCAACCACCGATTTCCAACATCCATTGCAGCCGCATGTTGGGAATATATTGGCGAGATGTTTTTTTGAGAAGATAAATAAAATATATATTAAATAAGAGAAAGATGTACAAAGTTGTTGTAAAATAATAAAGAAGGCAGATGAAAGTTATCGGTAATTGCTTTCTAAACTGAAACTTGCAGGAGTGTGATGTTGCAAAATCTCGAAACTTGGAAATTGCAGAGAGAATGAGGGTTGAGTCGTGCCACTTGGTCACTCTCCTTAAAACCACATTTGCCCCCTATGGTGCAGCCGGGTGATCGCAAACATGCCACTGGTAGGCGTACACTCGCATACCAGACCTCCACGAACCACAGAGAGTTGATGCTCAGATTGTTAGAAAAAATAGAGAAGAGAAGACTGTCGAAAAACAATGTGTTGTGTGAAAATTAGGTCGACCAACACCCTTTTTATAGATTGGTCTCAGACCCAAATGGACACAAAGGTGTCCTTTCAGACAAGGACCTCTTCAAGAATAGTGCGCCTATTCGAAGAGGCGCAGGAAGGAGGAGATACGAACAAGAAAAGAAAACTGTTCAAAAATAAATTCAAAATTTAAATTTAAATGATTAATTCGTTTTAAAGCAAAAACGATCAACCACACTTCACACTCACTTAAGTCAGTTATTAGCGTGCACTGCACACACTATTCTTAACTGATTAAGAGCCTTATGCTCAACCTCCTCAAACTGTAGTGAGCATTATCTTACCTCTACATCTGAAATGGGACACAAACAATAGTGATTTCCCAAGTCATCTAGTGACTCGTTTTTACTCATTCAACATAATTCCAGGGATCTCTTTTCACATAGGTTGGGGGTCCATTACTAACGACTTATGTAACGGGCTTCAGCCCCATTCCTACTAATGCCTCATAAACCACCTTAT